ATGCCCCAGGAGGGGAGCTGCACGGCTCTTCGGGTGCCGGGAGCTGTGATGGTGCTGGCTCCCGCCTGCCCAGGCGCACCCACGGCCACCTCCATCTGGACTTGGAGGGGGCTGGTTTCTTTCTCTCCTTTCCCCTGCCGCTGGGAGCTGCTGGTTTTCTTTGGCAGCAGATGGGGCACAGCCACCTCCTTGCCCTGATGGGCCCTTCCTCGTCACGGCAGGTGGGGACCCGATCCTCCTGCCCAGGCTCCCTGCTGCTCTCTTCTCCCATGGAGAGCACCTTGGCCGACCTCCTCCTCAACGCCCACCGCAGCCTGTCCATCCTGGCACCGAACAGGGGCAATTATCATATTGACCACCACTGGGGTTCAAAGCATCCCCTTTACACTTATGTACCCCCTCCTCCGCTCATCCAAGACACAGGCAGGGGAACCCTGGGGTAGAGCCACGCCCACAGCCCCCCCCGGACCAGGGGGTGGGAGAGCCCTTAGCTCAGAGTGCAAGACCTGCAGCTGGTTTAGACACACAGCTCCCTGCTCCTACACTCCCCTCTCACCCCACATGACTAGCCAGGGGCTGAGACCCCTGGTTGTCGGGAATACCAAGGAGAGGAGGACAGAGGCCCCTTCCCTGGGTCCTGTGGGTGCCCAGCAGCATCACAGGTTTGGCCTCCCTTCATGCTCAGCCTGGGCAGCACTGGCTGAGCTGGGAGGGGTGGGGAGCGTCAGCACCTGGGGATGTCTCTAACCCCACTGGAAGTGGTGTGAGGGAGCACCAGGGGCTGTGTGCCCACATTGCAGGGGTAGATTTTCTGCCCATTTCTGCATATCCTGCACAGAGATGGGAAGCCCCCGCGGCGCTGCAGGCCCCTCACCTGCCCTGGGGGATGGAGCACTGCTGGGCGGGTGTTCACAGGCCCTGGGGACACCGCACTCCTCCCTCTGGCTCTGGACTAAAGTCTCCTGCCTCTCCTCCGATGGATGTCCCTCGCCGCCTCAAGCTGCAGTCACTGCCGTCAATAGGGGGACGCCTACCCCTGAAAAGGACTATGCCATCCTGTTGGAAGCCATCCTCATGCACAGCCTCTTCCCTCAAAACAAATCTACACTTTTCCTCCATCCCACCCCTTACCCTCTCTCCTTGCCTATACCAGGACCCTTGTTCTTCCTGGACCTTCCCTTGCTGACCCTTTCCTGCCATGCAAGGGAAACTCCTGCCACCCTCCACCAGACTCTTTCCTCCCCACAGCTGTTACTGCTTGTCCCTGGAGCTTTACTGGATGCCTGTTGGTACCCAGGAGAGGCCAATCCCCTTCTCTGCACCATCAAGACAGGTGGCTCTAAGTGAATTGTAACTGGGGTCCAGTCCACACTGGCTGTGCACCGCGCTCCAGCCATCCTGGCGGGGAGGGGAGCCCTGTCCCGGGAAGCACTGGGAAGAGGTGCGACACCGGTGCCAGAAACGATGTTCTGAATTGGAGATAAAACATACAGAGTTAAAGGAGAAACATTTCTTATCACGGCTTCGGCAGGGGGTGGCACCCAGAGCATGCCCAGCTTCTGCGTCTTACACACATGACTGCAGGGAGCGTTACTCAGCCCCTCACGCCAAGGGCAGGGTCCTGTCGGCTCCGTCTTGATGCTTCACTTTTTCCATGGACACGGGCCACAGGCCTGAAAGCACAAGAGCCCCTCGCTCCCCTCCCAGCTCGACCCCTGCCGGCGCCTCCGGCAGCGTTGCCCAAGGACCGATCCTGACCTGCTCACTCTGGGCTGAGAGATCGCAGAGCGAAATCCTCCACGAAACCGGTTCTGCTTTCCCTCTCCAAACGACACCTGATGATTACTAACAGAAACAAGACGGGACATTTCAAATCACATGAACATGGAGGAAATACTTACTCTTCCCCCTGGACTGCAATTTCAAGGAATAAATTAATTGATCTGGGTTTGTGCTTCAATTCTGCCCTTCTTCAAAAAGAAGGAGAAACCCCATCTCCAGGTGTTTGGGGTGGGGCAGCTCGGCCGGGCTCGGCTCCCTTTCCTCCCTCCGGGCTTTACACAGGAACAAACCACCCCCGAGAGAAAGGCACAGACCTGGTGCCCGCTCTTGGCTGAACACAACCTGCAGGATCGGGTCGCACTGCCCTTCCCGGTCCCATCACTGGTGGGGCTGGTGCAAATCCCACCCCGTCGGGCCGCGTCCCCCTGGGACACCTCGTCCAGGAGCAGGAGGGTGCCGGCCCCGCGGCTCTTTCATGTCTGACTCTGACAACCCCTGGGGCAAGAGGCCTCCTCTCGACACCCACGTTGCCTCAGGCGGGGGCACAAGGGGGGCAGCGCTCTCCGCAGCCGACTTACCCGTCTGTGCAGACCCCGGGCGCCCGGCAGCACCGCTCCAGCCTCCGCCGGCAACTGCCTGGAATCCCGCGGTGCCGCGATGGTACGAACGCTGCCGCGGCAACGCCCGGGGACCAGCTCCATCGCCCCCCCGCACCCAGCGCCGCAGCCCCCCGCGGCACCGCCATGTCCCCCAGGACAACTGTTCATGCGCCTGGGGACGCCTGTCCCTCGGGGCAGACCAGGCGCTCCCCCAAATTGAGGGCAGGGGCGGAAATGCCCAGTCCACTCACACACTTTGCCACAACCACCATGTTTTTCACCAGAGCCAACACAAGGAATGGGCACGGCGGTCACCGCATGGAGCTGTCTGCATGGCACCGGGGCCCTGCGCACAGCTACACCCCTGCCAGGCTCCATGGCCTTGCTCTGCGCTCCCTTCTCTGAACAGACGCAGGGGACCCAGCACAGGGCTGTGCACCGCATGAGACCCTGTGCAGCCTGGCTCCAGTGACTGGCGTAGTGGTCCCACAACCGCATCGTAGGCCCAGCTGCAAATTTCCTTGCTGCCAAAACACCTCCTGGATCCAACACCACGTGGGGCCCCCAGGCTCCATCCAGCTTCTTAACAGCGTGGAGGAGGCGACCCACTTCTGTCTGCAATCCAGCACTAATAGGGGGTCCTACTCCTCCCGAGCAGACAGACAGACAGCTCCATACCTGCCTGTTCTCAGTCACTAACCAAAACCTAGCCCCAGCCTCAGTTGAGGCTGCTCCAGCAGCCTCAGGCAGGAGCCCCTGAGCAAGCTGACTGCAGGCACTGGCTGGGAAAGCCCCACAAGCTCCTTGAGGAGTCCAGCGCTGCTGCCCTTCCCAACCACAGCCTACATAGGGGGCCCAGGGTCCACCCCATTTCCAGGCAGCAGGGACTGGCCAAACTACCAGTGTCCAACAAACAGCACTGGGAGCCCTGCCATTGCCGCTCGAAACCCTTCCCATTCTCTACCCCCCCCGAGCTTGGGCTGCCCCAGCACCCCCCAGACACGTGACCAAAACGTCTTCACTGCACAAAGCTGGGGCAAACCCCTGAACCACATCACTGCACCCTTATTCAGGTCCATGTATTTAGCACAGTAGCTGGGGTGCTATCAGTTGGCAGCCTGGCTGGCCCAAGAAGTATTTATTTCTATCTATAACCCCAGCCCAAATTCCTGCTCCTAATTCAAACCCATATACTTAACACCGTGGCTGGGGTGGTTGTCAGTTGGCAGCCTGGCACAATCAAATTGTGTTTTGGCCGGGCAAGACTCTGGTGAGAGATGTCCAGGAGAGTCCCCCAGTGCCATAGTCTCATGGTTTTGGGTGGCCCAAGAAGCATTTCCATCTCTGATCCCAGCCCAGAAACCAGTTCTTAATTCAAGCCCATATAATTAGTACGGTGGTTGTGGGGGGATTATCAGTTGGCAGCCTGGCATGGCCAAAGCATGTTTTGGGCTGAGCAAGTCTCTGGTCAGATATGTCCAGGAGAGTCCCCTTGTGTCACAGAGCCATGGTGTGAGCTGGCCCAAATGGATTTCCATCCAGAATCCCAGCCCAAAATCCAGTTCTTTATTCGAGCCATCATACTTCGTAAAATGGGCACAGTCAAACCACGCTTTGGACCGGGCAGGACTGTGCTCAGGGCTTTTTGGGACAGTCCCCCCATGGCATTGAGAGGAAGTTTGGGGTGGCCGAAGAAGTATTTTGCCCCATAATCCCATCCTAATCTGGCCTTCATTTAGGGCTCTGTACTTGATGCGGGATATTATTTTACATATTAATTAGTACATAAGCATAGTTAATGAAATTCTCTCTCTTTAGGATGTGTAATTCATTAATAACAAGCTTTTATTGGGTCTAGATTAGTTTTGGAAAAGGAACCGGCAGCCTGAAATAAGGAATAGGGAACCAGGAATAAGGAACTGGGGAATAAGCAACCAACTCAGCTTCATCTGAGATCAGAGGGAGCATCTCTCTCCTTGGGTCTGGGGTCCCCAGCTCTTTTGCAGGGAAATGGTCTGTCTTCCCTGCATGGAGCACCTTGGATGGGCAGGAGGGGGGTGTCCTGAATGGGAGAGTCTCGTTGCAATAGTCAGCATCAGTTTCTTCCTTTTTGCACCTCTGGGATCTTGCAAAGGACAATGCCCAAAGTAAGATTGAGCCCAGGAAAGCTTGTGCTTTACTTATAGCTTATTTAATTAGCCTACAAGGTGCACGTCTACCCTGCCCGGCCAGCTGGACTCCAGGCAGCAGCAAAGAGCTCCTGCAGGGAAGGAGAAACACTTCCTGCTGCAGGGGACAGGTTTGCATGTGACACTGCCTGTGTGTGCGTGAAACCGTGCAGTTTTCTATAGCTAAAGGGCAGGGAGCTGCGTGGGGCTGGGGTGGGCTTGCACAGTGATGCTGCCCTGGGGCCTGCGGGTGCCAGTCGCTCACATCCAGACTTCTCTGGCTCTTGTGCGCAGGGGGAAGCCAGGCTCCTCCTGTCCCTCTGTTTTTCTTCCTGGGTCAAACACTGCTACCTCCTCCATTGTGATCTGGGAGCCGGGGCTGAGCAGCTGCTGGGGAGAGCGCTGCCTCGCAGCCAGCCTCTGTGCCCAGCCTGGGGGCACTTTTTCTGGCAACCCCAGACTCTGCCAACACCAGCTGCTGAGCCGGAGGCTCCAGGTAATGGAAAGAGACCTGGGGGAAGGTGCTGGGGGTAGGCAGAACAGGGGCTCTCAGCACACACGGCAGGCCGAGCTGTAGCAGCACTTAGAAATCTGTTGGGATTGCACCTGTGGGTGTTTTAGGACTAGTCCTCAGTAGCTAAGGGGCAGTCCCTGGTGCAGTTCCTGGGCATGCACCTTGGGGGCTAGTGCTGCATGAAACAGATGCCCTAACTTTTCCAGCAACTGTGCTAGGGGCTGCTCCATCAGCCGGACCAGGGTATTCGAGCAAGGAGATAGGGAAAGGGAAGATGGACTTCAGGTGAAGCCTGAATATGACCCAGTGGGGTTTTCCCCTTTGCTTCAATTGTCAGGAAAGGAGGGGGGAAAAATAAGACGGATGGTGGAAGAAAGAGAAAGGGGAGGACAGAGAAGGTGACATGGAAAGGAGGGGAATATGAGTTTGTGTTTAGGGTTATTCTTCATTTAAAGCATGTTATTCTGTATCATGATATAAATCAGTGGTGGGAAGGAGGTATCCTTTTGATTTAATCAGAAACGGGTAAGACTTGGGTGGCGTCGATCCACGAGACAGATCTGCTGTGGAGGGACAACCTAAGACAGGGTCCTGGGATACAGTACATCCTTAATTATCCAAACCCCTCTGAAAAGCACATGCTGAAGAGCCATTGGGGTCCCTGAAATCATTCAGATAAATCAAAACTGCAACATCATGTGAGAACCTGCTTGTGCTAGCTTTGGATGCACAATGCAAAACCATCCCAAACTCACCAGTATAGATGTTAAACACAGTAAAGCTTAAAAAGAGAACAGCGGGGTATAAAATAACAGCAGTTACAAGTTACAGAAATACAGTTGCCATTCAAATACAAGGTTCAGATAACTTTGGTGTACTGTAATATAAAGTGTAGTGTGCGACACTGTCCCTAGAGACTAGATCCTAATGTACGTGCGCACAAGTATCACAAATAAGCTGTCCAGAGACACGTGAGTTAGTGCAGCTTAAGTATGTGTGCCTAATGGAACTGCCCTAGCAGCTTTTTTTTTAAATAAAGGTTTTGTGAGTTATATGGATATCTGAATTCCTCCAGATTTTGTGGTTATTCCATATCATTTTCTAATATGGCAACATAATTCCCATCAGTTATGCCCCTTTTCTTTACAGTAGTCAAATACCGCTCTCAGTTGTTCCTTTGATTTGATTTTGATCAATTTAGACTTGTAGAATATTAATTTATTATTTGTGCATATAATGCACTTTCTATGAATACCCACTTTTAATATAAAGCTACCTTAGATGTTGCCTTTTTTATTATTATTAGCCACATTGGGTAAATCTCAGCATTCTCATTTTTTCTCTCTCTTATGAAACAATTGCAAATCACCTAAAAAATTCACCTGTTTCTCAACTCCATTAACCATTAAAATATTTCCTCAGTTTTAGAGGAGAACGATTGCCTCAAATTGCCGAGTTGATTTTGGGATTCATATATTGGGTAATAAGAGGTTGTCTAATCTGTTGAAGGAAAAAAGCATAACAAGAAGTAGTAGCTGGAAACTAAACCAGACAAATGCAAATTAGAAGTAAGCTTTCCATTTTTAACACAGGAGGGTGAGACGCTTTTGGAAGAAACCAGCAGGGGAAGTGGTGGCTTCTCTGTTTCTTAATATCTTCAGATCAAGGCTTGCAGGAAGACAGGCTTTACACAGGTGAATGAATGCTGGGACGAGCAGGTGTCGTTCTCTTGCCCTTGTGATGCAGGAGGCCAGACTAGAAGTGATATGCCCTTCTGGGTACTAGATAGGGGAAGGGTATTAAACACAACGTTTTGTCCCTGACAATTGAGAATCAAAGGGTTTCCTCCATATATCATAGCTTGCCCCATTGGAGGGAACAGTATCTCTCAGATGTTAAGGGAAGAATCAGCCAGTTTTGGTCAGGCAAGGCTGGATGGAGGGGTTGGGAGACAAGTCCCCTGTTCAGCTTTGCTGATGCTGCTCTGTGCATAACAAGCTTCCTTCTCCTCCAAGCAAAATCCAGGTTACCTAACCCCCCCCCCCCCCCCAAAAAAAAAACAAAAAAAAACCCCTCCATCCCTTACCACAATGCTACAGCAGTAACTAGCCCTCAGCAAAGGGGTTCTCCCCAGACGGTCCTTACAACCACTGACAAATGGCCTATGTGGTGGCCGTTTTCCCTGCCACGAGTGTCAGCTGTCCTTGGCATGAAAATGGGGCCACAATTTTCTGCCAACAGCAGAGCAGCATGGCAAAACCATGGGTGAGGAAGGGAAGGAAAATCTCTTGACTAAGATTTCCAGCCATACATTATCCCAGGGTTGCTCAACCCTTAAGCCCATGGGTCGGATCTCTCCTCTGGCATTGTATCATCTGATCTGTAGGACTTACCATACATCGCTGGGGAACCCCATGGGCCACGACCCTGTGCTGGGCTCATCCCTGGTGCTTGGGGGCTGGGCCAAGGCAGCGCAGGACCCCAGAGCCTGATCCCGGCACACAGGACCTGGGCAGAGCTGGTGTGGGTCTCTGGGGCCTGATCTTAGCCAGGCAGGGGTAGCTTGGGGCCACAGGGCCTGATCCCAACATGAAGGGGTAGTGTGAGGCCTGATCCAGCCCATGGACCAGATCCACACTGTTCTATCTGGCCCGTGGAGCCAAAACTGTGAGCACAGCTGCTTTACCCCATCCCATGTACTGCCCAGGCAAGCTTTCTGCACCAGTTCACTGCCCTCCATTGCTGCTGCCCGTTCCCAAGCACCTCAGATCCATCCCCTTTCCTGCCCGTCTCACAGCAAGGCTGACCAGGGCTCCCCGCTGCCGCAGTCGATGAGAGGGATGCAGCTGAGGAGAAACAGGGAAGGGAGGGAAGATGTTGGGGCGAGGAGACCTGGAGAGAGACCATAAATGTGAGGGGAGGATGGGCAGGGAAGTGGGGAGGTGGGAGAATGATACAGGGCAGGAGGGTGTTGCAGCTTCCCTATACCAGGGGGTGGGAGAGGGTGCAGAGCACCCAGCAGCTAGAAGGGAGTTTTGGTGCCAGCAGTGCTCCAACATGCATTGGTGGTGGTTGGGTACACGACCTCCTCCTGAAGTCACACAGGTGAGAAGTCCCTGTACTCCCAGTTTGCTGTCTTACTAGTCTATGAATGTTTAAAAAATATACTTATGACTGGAGGTTGAATGTTTGAGACTGACAATACTGCTCCTAGCCTTACCCTCCTGGTACTCCTAGACTTACCCTCCTGGAACATATTTCTGTGTCAGATCTGTATCTAATGTCACCAGCACCAGTTCACTGTCACTGTAAGTGGCACAGAGGAATGACCCTGGATGGAAGCAAATGTGATCAGTAGCTATCTTTCCATCCATAAGGGTTGCCAAGGGTATGGGGGAGTTGTTTCTTTAGCTGCTCCCTTCCGATGGCTCTGGTCATTTCTAAGAGGAAGTTGCTTGCTTTCTCTTTACTCAAGGCACTACCTAGCCCTCTTGGATGGAACTTCCTAGATTAACCAGGTACTGTCTCTTCTGTTGTGCTCTGGAAGCTCTGAACAATTGCTGGGTTGCTCTTGGTCTTCCTTCCACGATACTCGGCTCAGGGAGTGACTTGCACTCAGCCTTTACCTCTTTATTTCAGCAGATGAGGAGACCATGAGTGACAGTGAAGAGAAGACTCCAGAGCAGGAAGGCACCAAGCAAATGGAAACACAAGGAACGCTGTTGGGAAGATCAAAAGGGAATGTTTCCCAGACCTGTAGGCCAGGAAAAGTCTGGGGGAATCGGTATAGCCCAGAGAGGCCTCTGGGATCACCCACAGTAGAGGAATCCAGGCTTTGTGGAGGGGGAGGTAAAGATCTCCATGGAACCATGGTCCAGCAGAGAGGCCACGTGGAAGAGAGAAAATACGCATGTGCAGAGTGCGGAAAAAGTTTTAACTGGAGCTCGCACCTGATTAGGCACCAGAGAACTCACACGGGGGAGAGCCCGTACGAATGCCTTGATTGTGGGAAGAGCTTCAATCGGAGCTCAAACCTTCTTAGGCACCAGAGAACCCACACGGGGGAGAAACCCTACAAGTGCTTTGACTGCGGGAAGAGGTTTATTCAGAGCTCCGAGCTCATCACGCACCGGAGAATCCACACGAGAGACAAGCCCTACAAATGCCCCGACTGTGGGAAAAGCTTCAGCCACAGCTCCAACCTCATTAAGCATCGGAGGATCCACACGGGGGAGAAACCCTACAAATGCCTCGAATGTGGGGAGAGTTTCAATCACAGCTCAAACCTGACTAAGCATCGGCGAATCCACACAGGCCGGAAGCCCTATAAATGCCTCGACTGCGGGAAAAGCTTCAGTCAGAGCTCAGAGCTGATGATGCATCAGAAACTTCACATAGGGAAGAAATCCTACAAATGCACTGAGTGTGAGAAAAGTTTCAATCACAGCTCAAACCTTATCAAACACCAGCGTATCCACACGGGACAGAGACCCTATGAATGCTCTGACTGTGGGAAGAGCTTCATTCAGAGCTCCAACCTCATTAAACATCAGAGGATCCACACGGGGGAAAGACCTTACAAATGCCTCGTCTGTGGGAAGAGCTTCATCCAAAGCTCAGACCTTATTTCACATGAGAGAACCCACTCGGGAGACAGACCGTGAATGTGGGAGAAGCTCCTGATTGGATGAGGCAGCAGCAAAGGCATGTGGCTTAACGCTTAATGTCCCGTTTAATGCCTTCCACGCAGAACATACCGCAGGAGGAGATCACCTGTGAGATTGCACCATGCACCGAAATCCTATTGAAGTCCTGGTCAAAGTTAAAAACAAATGCATTTCCTAACTCCCCCACACACCTGTGGCACTTGTTCCCCAAGCACCTCTGGGTTGAGGATACAGCAGCATCTGATCCTGAGCTGATCAGTGACCCTCCTGCTCCACCTGGGATGAGCAAACCCCAGGCAGAGAAGGACAAACCCTGTAAGTACCTGCTGCTGCCCTGGCTGCTCAACTAATTTCTTTCTGCCTTCTAAGGATACCCCCCTCCTGCTTTCTGCCTTCCTGTGCACACTTTCTCTTCCATGGTGGCTGGGACACATGGACCAGGCCTCTAGATACCTGTTGTCATCTCTACCAGCTCCTGAGCTTGACCTTGCCCACTTATCTGAAGCTGCTTCCTGCTGGGTGAGTGTCCCTGACAGCTGATAATCCTTTCCCAACACTGCCTTCTCCAAATCCCCTGGTGGACAGGGTTCTGGCAGGATCAAATGCTAGAGGACCAGAAGGCAGGGAACTGGGGGACTGAATGTTTGGGGTGCTGGAGAGTGGCAGCCAGAGAAAGAAAGTTACAGGGATTATTGAGCATTTGGGGATTATGGCATAGGAAAGGACAAAGTTATGGCTGTTGTGTCCCCTTCCCAGCTCCCATTAAGCCTATCTTCCCTGCCTCCTCTACATTGAGAAAGCACCACTGAAACAAGACTGATTTCTCAAAGGTGTAGAAAGGCCGGGAAGCCTAGAAAATCCACTTCAGCCCCAGCCCCTGAGGATTTGCCCGGATCAGGAAGAATGACGGGCATCGGCTAACATATTCCCCCTACCCACTACACTGGATACCCACCATTTTTCCTAGTCTAGGATGACCCAGAGTATTGTTATCTGGACTATTCCCTTTGTTAGCAGAGGGATTTTTGAGCTGTTGTGTCCCCACTTTGGGTACCCATTGCTCTGGATAGCACTGAAGGCCACTTATTTTTGTCCTTTTCTTTTATAAAGCATAGTGACAAAGACAGTAAAAAAGCTGGGGTGTTTTTGAGCTTCTTTGTTATCTGGGGTTGTTAGCAAGGATGAGAAGGTTTTTCAGTGATTCTTTTCCTCCCCTCAGTTCCCACACAGAAGCATTCCCATGGCCTGAAAGGCCTTCCCAGGGGGTCATGTGACCAGGTAGGGAGTCATATGACCAGGTGGACTCGGTTATTTGTGTTTAGGAATCATACTTTTAATTTATGTGATCCTGTATCAGACTCATGAGGATCCCAGCTGTGCTGTAGGATTTTGAATACATCACAAACACAGGGTGTGTTTACACATGCATTTGATGCAGGACCAGTTTACTTGCGAGTAAACTACTAATAAGTAAATGCTCCCAGGCAGGCATCTACATGTGCAGAGATGTGGGAGCAGATTTGCTGCTCCCAGTAGCAAACTCTTGTCATGTCTTGTGGCCCTGAAATGGGCCCCTGCCACCACCAGGGGCAGTGCAAGGCAGAAAGAAGCAGCTGGCAGCCATCTTTAAAAGCCAGCCCCACTCCTTGCTCCCTGGCCAGTCACTTTCCTAACCACAAACAGCATGTGCAACACAGGGGCAGCATGCGGCAGCTCTCTCCTTGCTGCCTCTGCCTCCCCTCACCATAGCTCCTCTGGCCCTTGCCCCTGGCAGCGATGACCAGTGCCTGGAGCTTCTGCTGGCTGCCACACTGGCCCTGCTGGCCTGCTGCACTGACCTCTGGCTCTTCCAAATCCCCCAAGTGCAGCGACTGCCTGCCCGACCACTGCACACTGTCCCAGGGCCTCTGCAGCCATGCACCTGCCATCTGGATCCCATCCAGCTGGCTGGACCCTGGCAGGGATGCCGATGATGCCCTCCATGATGCTGCCTCTGGGGCTGCCCTCACCCTCCTGGGCCTCCAGCCCTGCTGCCTCTGGGCCCCCTGGGTCAGCCAGGACTGGTGGCTGCACATTGTTCAGCGCACCTGGGAAGTTGAGCAGTGGCTAGAGGCATTCAGGATGACCTAGGTCACCTTCCTGGACCTCCGCATCTGAAGCAGGCCACCTATTTGGTGTGGGCAAGGCCACCAGTGGGGACGCCATCCTGGAGCAGTGCCCACCCTTCAGGATGTGCTGGGATACACGGTGCTCTGGGTGCACAACCCCCTTGTGGTGGTGGTAGGGTTCCATGCACTGGGCTTTGCCCAGTGCACTGGGGCCCTGAACGGGACCCACATCCCTGTCACCTGTCTGCCGCAAGGCAACCAGCCCTACTACTGCTGGAGGGGCTTTCACTTGGTGGTGCTGCAGGTCGTCATGCACCACCATGGCACCTTCATCAATGTGAGCATTGGCTGGGTGGGCAGTGCCCACGATGCCTGCGTGTTTCACAACTCTGCCCTGCCAGTGCTGGTGCAGAGAGACCGGTTCATGTTGCGGGTGCTGGACCTGCAGCTGGGTGGTCCCGCCCCTCCTCATCAGGAACCCTGCCTACCCGCTCCTCCCCTGGCTCATGTGGGCCTACACTGGCCAGCTGGACGCCTCCCAGGCACACTTTAACCGATGCCTGGCCAGACCCGGACCCTGGTGGAGTGTGCCTTCAACCATCTCAAGGGACTGCCACAGCCTCACTGCCCGCCTTGTTCACTGAAGACAACCTCCCCCGGGTCATTGTTGCAGCCTGCGTGCTGCATAACATCTGCAAGGCCTGGGGGGAGCTGTTTTGCCTGGCCTGGGTGGAGGAGGTGCAGTGGGCAAAGGACGCCTGGCAGCGGGAGCACCAGCTGCGGTGGCAGCAATATCGGCAGCCGCATCCCTGCTGAGGCCCCGGGACAGCCGCATACCTGCCAGCAGGGGCCAGGGCACCGGGTGCCGAAGGTGCTGGCTGACCACCTCCTCCAGCACTCCCTGCTGTAGCCTGGTTACACAGCCACCCACAAACCCCCCCAGGCTCCCCTGCCCACCCCCAGCACCACGCTCACTGCACACACATCTCCAAACAGCAGTTTTTATTTCCCTGGCAGCAAACAAACCCCCCTCCCCGCTCCCATCCCAACAAACAGAGCCCCCTCCCCCTCCCTCTCCCCCTCGCTCTCTAACAAGACAGCTCCTCCACCACCCATCCCACCCACCAACAATAAAACATCCTTTTCCCTGTGCAAACTATTTACAAGTGGAGTGCTGTGGTATGTCTGTGTGCCTTGCTGGCATGGGTTGCTGTGGGATGGGGTGCCTAAGGGGCAGAGCCCAGGGACAGACAGATGCCCAGCACCCCAGCTTCTCTCTGTTCCCCCATGGGTACACACTTCACGGTGAGTCCAGTGGGTGGGAATCCTTGCCCAGAGACTACGGCAGCTGCTGGTCCCCTGGCATGGACAGCTCCTTCTCCAGCAGCCGATGGCCAGGGCCGGCAGGGCTGGCATGCGGTCCTGGCCCTGCTGCAAGCAGCTCCAGCTCCAGGCCTGTGTGGGGCTGGGGCGAGTGGTGGGCCTGGGCCCAGGCATGGCGGCTGGGTGGTAGCGGACCTGGGGCGGGGGCCGGGACAGGGGTCCTGACTGTTGGAGGTGGTGCTGGACCTCTGCCCAGGCCCATGGGGAGGCCTGCTGCTTGGCAGTGTGTGACTGTCAGGGGGCAGGCGGGGCTAGGGCTGGGGCTGGGGCTGGGGCCGGGCTCGGGGCCGGTCAGCAGGAGGCACAAGGGCGACTGCCAGGGCCATCAGGGTGTCCAGCACCCGGCGGTTATCCTCCATGGCCTGCACTGCCCTGCCCAGGACTGCACTCTGCTCCCGCAGGGCCTCCACCCACTCACGCTCCAGGGTGAGGAACTGCGTCCGAAACTCCCGTTCTGCCTGGTCCCGCGCCTCCTCACGCCGGTCCCGCACCTCCTCGCGCCGGTCCCTTGCGTCCTGGCGAGCCATGTCTTCCGCCCGCCACCTGTCCTGGCGAACCACATCCTCCGCCCGCCACCTCTCCTGGCGGGCCACATCCTCCACCCGCCAGGCCCGTGTGTCCACCAGACGGTCCTCTGATGCCGTAACCAGCCGGTCCAGGCGGAGGGTCCTGTCCTGGGACCTCCTTTGGCGGAGCCGGCGCATCCGCAGGGCCCCGGCTGTGGGCGGCGGTGACTCTGAACCCACATCCTGGTTGCCACGTGCAGCCTCTCCGCCACATGCAACTGCAGGGCCTGCAGAGCCATGAAAAAGAAGCTGTTTGTGAGATTTTGTAACATTTATGAGATAAAATGCTCTGTACCAGGGGCCACGTAGTGCCCAGCCTCAGAACAGGGGTTGGTCGTGCACAGGTGCCCAGAGATGATGATAAGTCGGGTGGGCAGACCCGGACCCAGGTGATGACTGGCTAAGCCCTCCATCCCTGCTCAGTCCCTTGAGGTCTGTGGCCCGCTGGATGCTGGCTGCAGGCAGCTGCTTCCCGTACCACCCCTTCCCAGGGTGAGACAGGCCAGGCTCCTGGCAGCACCTGCTGCTGTGGCTCCAGACCCCGCTGTGCATCCCCCTGCTCCTGTAGGCCAGCTGTTCTGTGCTGCCGTCCAGGCCATGGCACCCAGGCTTGGGGGGTGCAGGGCTCCTGGACGACTGGGACGATGACTTTCCCCCACCCCTGCCCTCTCTGCAGGGGACTTCCCTAGGGAGGTGCCCCGAGGCCAGGCCCCCCCCACTCTCACACTGGTACTGTGCCCCAAGAGTTCCTCTGCTACGTGTCTCCTGGGTGCTGTATGGGGAGCTGTTTGTGTGGACCACGGGGTGCCCGACCCACTACGCCCTGCTGCTGCTGATCGCCATGCTGCCCTGGGCGAACCTGCGCACTTGGCACAGGGCCCTGAGTTTCAACAGCGCAGGGGGCAAGCCCGGCTGCCCCGCAACCTCCGCCACTGCCTGGAGGGCTACCTGCGGTTCTGCTACTTGTCCCTGTCCCCTGCTGCAGAAGAGGACATCACTGCTGGCATCAACCCCTTCCTCCGTGTGTGAGAAGTCTGTGCCTGCCTAGCTGCTCAATAAAGTTTTGTTGCATGCTGTGGTGGGGGGGAACCTGGGGGCCAGGGGATAGTGGGAAGGCTGGTTGGGGAGGGGGAGCAGGGGCAGGGGCAGGGGCCAGGGCAGGGAGGGCTGTCCCCCAGCGCAGGGCTTACCACGTGGCCGGGGCTGGTGTACCCGACGGCTCGGCTGGATCCTGGCTGGCAGCAACAGCGTGAGGCTTCCGGCAGACTCGTCGGATGGTGGGGCGCAGAGTACGGGCGCCTGGATAGGGGCCCCTCCTGGGGAGGAGCTGGCACTGCTGATGGCCAGCGGTGACATGGCTGGCTGTGCCTCCTGGCTGGGGCTGAGGCTGTGGAGCTGTTGGGGCAGGCACTGGGCCAGGCTCCCCGAGCTGCTGGTGGAGGCTGCAGCTGGGGAGCCAGGCTGGACAAGCTGCTGGCGCCCCGAGGGTCCCTCCCCCGGTGACCCGTCACCACGGATGCCAGCCTGGGGTGGGGGCTCGGCCAGGCTACCCGTGCTGTGCGCATGGATGCAGCTTGGGTCCCGGGGCGTGAGGATGGCGTCCAGTTGCCGCATAAAGGGCATGGTTTTGCGTGCACTCCCCGACCGACGATTGTGGTCAGAGATGGAAACCCACTGTGCCCGCAAGGCCTTTACCTTTATGCGGCACTGCTGCGCTGTCCGGTCATAGCCGCGCTCCCGCATCCGGCACGCCAGGCCCTCATAGACGTGGACATTGGAGCGCCCGCCCAGCGCGAACTGCCGCTGCACGTCCTCCTCGCCCCACAGTGCCACGAGGTCTCCCGTCTCCTCCATGGACCAGTTGGCGCCCCGGGTGGCGGGGAGTAGCGTAGGCGACGACGAGGCCATCGGGGCTCCCACGTCGGCTCTCCGGGCCTCCGCGCGGCTGTCTCTGTGTTGTCGGGCCCAGGCAGCTGCCTGCAGCGCCCCGCGCGGAGGTCCGGCACGGGACTGGCAGCGATGCAGCGAGGCAATGTCCCACAGGACCTGCAGGCTCCGGGCAGGCTGCTGGGGGAAGCTGCGGGCAGCTGGAGCTGGCCCCAGTGGCGAGGAGCTGCCTGCAGCTGGGCCTGGGTGCTGCAGGCGTGGAGGGTGCAAGCCTGGCAGCCGCGCCACACTGCAGTGCCAGGCAGCAGTGCTGGGCTGCAGGCAGGCAGGCAGGCAGGCTGGTGCAGGGGCAGCAGAGGCCAAGAGTCCTCCCAGGCTCCCTGCTGCTGTGCCCTAGGGCACAAAGTGCCTGCAGGCTGTTAAGGACCTGAGGTTGGGGCTGGAGAGTCTCCCGGCCCCGGGGCCCTGGGGCTGAGCTCGGCCGGCTCCGTCGTCGCAGGGCTGACTGGGAGTGACGTCTAACACGAGCGTTACTGGGCACGTCTACACAAGACGCTACGTCGCCGTAGCAATGACCTACTGTGCCATAGGTCGTTGCTACGACGACGTAGCGTCGCCTGGCTTGAGCCGTCACGGGGACGGAACTGCGCAGTAGCAACGAGCGCTGCGCCTAGCAACCGGCTGCTGTGTGCTTGCTCGTTGCTACGGCGACATAGTGTCTAAAAATAACCATGCGGTGGCGGGACTGTGCGGTAACGCCGGAACGGCGTCAGTCTCGGGGGGGGCTGCTGAACGTCTGCCGGAAGAGCATTTGGCCAAAAAAACAAATATACAGTGGGGCCTGTGTTTGACTTGACCCCCTTGAAAGGCCTGGTGAATCACAGAGCGATACCTGCCTGTCTGTTAAACTGCAGCGCAGCGGGGTGGGAGTGCTCTGGCTGTGACGGTCCTTGCTTCTTGCCTAATGCACTGCAGTTCCCTGCTGTGAGCAGGGCCGGAGACCCAAAGACCAGCGTCTGCAGCGCACTTCCCTGACTTGGGGTGCAGGGGTGAGGATGGGTCTGCCTGGACCCCTGCTTTGGGTTCCCAGGGGCTGCGGGGTATGATGGGGCCAAGTCAGGCTTTCTGGTTTCTCTAACAGCTTTGTAGCCCCCTTGTTTTGCTGCTCTGAATAGGGAAATCCTCTGCCAGGGAAAAATGCAGGGGCTGCTCCTCCTCCTCTGAGACTCAGAGATACATTGCTAGGGGCATGCTGGGGAGGGGCAGGCAAGAGAGGGCTGGAGCCTCATGCTCAGGTACACCCCAGGGAACGAGGCGCAGAAATGTCCAAATGATGCACAAGAAAATTCAAAATGATTCAAAATGTTCTTTTCTTTCTTTCTATCTTTTTTACAAATTAAATATAACACTATTTGAACCTTCTTAAGAAATATATGCAGGTACTTGTGTGTGGGGGTGTGGTTGGAGGGCGGCGTGGGGTGTGCACATGGGAGGGATTTGTGGGTGGGTGAGGGGGAGTTGTGAAAGTATGGGGGGTGTCTGTGTGGGTGGGTGTGGATATGGGAGAGGGTGGGTTTGTGTGTGGGGGGGGCCATGTGCCACCCCCCAGCACAGCCCCCATAGCCACATGCCCCACTGCTCACAGCCCTTGCCACCACACAGCAGGCCCTCTGGGCACTCCTGGCTGCAGCAGGCAGAGCCCCTGCAGCAGCACATGGCTCCAGTGAATCCCGGGGGGCTGCCTCCACTGCAGGCAGGAGCTACATGTAGCCCCTGGGGTTTCACTGGAGCTGCACACTGCCAGGGGCTGTGCTTGCTGCAGCTGGGACCACCCCTCTGGCGGTGGGGGCTGTGTACCATGGGGTGCAGAGCATGTGGCAGGGGGGTCCACACCCACCCACAATCCCCGCCCCTCCCCACACCTACCCTCCCTTCTTGCAGGAAGGACATCCTCTTCCCACTCACCAGCTACACCCCGGGGAATTATGCAATAGCATGCAATTATGCACAGTCATACATTTTACACGCAAAATTACGTGGATGCATAATTGCGTAATTCCCTGGGGTGTACTCAGGGTGCTGCAACTCATGTTGTGAGTTACTGCCGGCACCTGGGGCTTCAGCACCCAGCTCTGTTGAGTTTTTCCCTTTTTCAGAAAATGGAGCAAATCATCTGAGCCCTGGGCCACAGATGGGGATGGCTACCCAGCTGCCTGAGGCCAGGGTGCCCAGAGCAAGGAGCACAAACTCTGCAGGCAGCTCCAGGAGCTCCAGGTGCCTCTGAAGTTTCTGCATCCCACCATTGCCAAAGTAGCTGGCATGAAGGACCAGGATGCTGCTCACTGTTGCTCTTAACCCACCTGTTGCTTCCTGAGAGAGAGAGATATGGAGGCCACAGACATGCCACGTGTTTGCTTTGGAGTTAATGAACTTTGCTGCATTGTAAAAGCAGAGGGGACATGGGATGCACAGCCTTGCACCGGTATGAGCCATGCCACTCTGGGATAAAGGTGCCCCTCAGAAATTGAGAAGTAACTTTGCACTGGGGTAAGTGACACCCACATACCAGTGCTGTGTCCCCCTCCCTAACTGCATCCCTATGCTCAAGGCAAACTGGTTTTCCTGCCTCATGGAGCAGCAGCCTGCCCTGCATGCAGTGAAACTCTGTGTCTATGATCTGTGCAGGGGCATGGCTCTCTGCCTCAGCCCCCTTATGCTGGGTACGAGACAGGAGGGTGGCAAAGGGGGACAGTTGTGTTGGGCAGGAGACCAGAGGGGATGGCCCAGCAGTCCCACCTGTTCTCACTGCCTGCAGTGGGTGGAAGGGCCAATCCCTCCTGTAACTCTGAACTCCTCTGAGACTCTCCTGGGACAGAAAAGGCTCTGAAACACCTGGGAGGTCAGAAACAGCAGAGCCAGCCCTGCCTCCTCCCTCAGGAGGTAGCACAGATCCACTTGCCCACATCGACACTTCCCTGGCTAGCTGGTGCTGGCATGGGCACGTTCCACCCCCAGAATTTGTCTCTCCTACGGAGTTTCACCTTTTCAAGCAGAAAACAGCAGCCACCCAGGGAAGACTTCCCACCCTGCCCTCCAGTAGGTAGAAGGGGACTGATAGGTGTGATCCTTCTCCCCACACCCTCTCTTCAGCTGGGCCAGGACCATCCCAAGGGTCCCTGCCCAGACCTGACTCTGCTGTGCAGCTGCCATGTGCTTTGCTCTTCTAGAGACATGACGCGATTTCCTGTAAGCAGACTGGAGATCATTGTACCAGAGCTGTGGTTGTAGAGCCAGCTCTTTGTCCACTCTCAAAGGCATCTCAGTGCAATCCTCTGACCCTGCTCAAGAGCCCCCCAAACCATTAACACAAAGGGTGAGGAGGTTCCCCCCAAAACTGCCTACTGCTTTGGGTGACTTAATTTTTTGAGTGAGATGGTGGTAACTTACAGAAGTGGAGGTGTTAATGGTTTTTAGGGGCTTAAGGAAGGTAGAATGGGATCCTACTTAAATCCCCACATCCACTTAGGTGCTTGATATATAGGAAAGGATCTGGTGCTTCATTTCCCTCCTCTCCTCAATTCTTGGACCAACAACCACAAACCAGGATGTGGTTTTCATGTGGCATCTCTAACTGGCTCTAGATTTCTGTCACCTGCAATTCAACGTTGTGTCCTGTTTCCAAAGAAAAGTTGCACGTGTCATTGCAAAAGACAAGACAGGAATTCATATGAGGTGAAGGCTGCACCAAACTACACAAACTAATGTCTTAGGGCAGGAGCTGGGAACCTATGGCCTGTAAACTGGATTTGGCCTGAAGAGACATTTTATTTCAACCCACAGAAGGGGAAGCGGGGTTTCTGTAGCAGGGGCTTTGCGTGGCTGGCAGGGAAAAGCAGCATCAACACTTGTGACTGACTCCAGCTCCAGTTCTGGCTGCATGGGACCAGGGCTTAGTTCAGGGGTTTAGGCTCCTGGCCCAAGGTCCATCCTGCTGGGGATAGTCCTTCTGAGCCTTGTATAACAGTCCTATACTGTTCCCAGCTGGAGTCTTCTTTACCTTACAGTAGGGTCCATGTTTGTGGGGAGAGGGACTCATATGCACCTCCGCTTCCTCCTCGCAGAGGTCCCCAGCCCCCACCCCATACTGAGCGTGGCCTGACTTTTCCCTTTCTCCTCCAGGGTCTGAGTTGACCAGTGCATTCTGTGCTGCCGCCTACCCCCAGCATACGTTATTCAACTCTCCCCACCTCTCCTGGCCAGGCTGTGCTACCCTTTCCTAATAAAACAATTGTTTCTTGAGTCTCAGACATTTTCTTTCAAGCCATGGGATTTAGAGGTGAAATCACTTCCAGTTCAGAGCTCAAACCTGTGGCTGAGCTCCAGCCCCTTAGGTCACATCTCAGGAGCCAGTGATTATCATGCCCATGTGTTTTCTGCCCTTCCCTTTGCTCCCTGTGTCTCCCCACCCTGGTCTGACTGGTATGTGACTGGGGTTAAATACGCCCTTGCATGAAGCTACTTCACTCCGCAGCTCAGGCCCTGGAGCTGGAGTCAGGACACCCTGCCTGGCCATCCTCAGGGCCAGATAGCCTGGGGTTGCCCTTTAGGTTTCCCTCATGGCAACCATTTGCCAATCCTCCATGCACGGCTTACTAGGAGCTCACATGGCAGAATCATGCCCTTGAATGTGGCTGAGTTGTGTGTGTCAAGCTGCTGACAATGACAGCCGTTGAGGGCCCTGCTTGGTCAGACCCAGCCCTCACTTGGGCACCTCTCCCAGGGAGATTGCCAAAGGCTGCAGCCCCCCTGTGAAATCATTTACATTGGCTTCAGGCGAGGTGTCTCTGCCACAGCCTCAGGGACTGGCTCCAGGGTTGACCAGCTTGGCCTCCCCAGTCAGCAAGCTTAACCTCCAGCAAGTGGGTACCTTTGCTTTACAACTGAATTGTGCTTGTTCCTCATAATGTTAGGCTGCCCAGAGAAATATTAACTCAGAAAAGCCTCACTTTGGCACCTTGGCCCCCTCGCCACCTCCAAATTTCTCAAGGAATAAGGCAGAGCACTTCAGACTCACCCGCACAGTAATGTGGTTTAACTTTTCATGGATATTCCTGGGTGACTCCTCAACACAGCACCCCAAACCTGGGTCATTAGTAGGGACCTACTTAAAGCTGCAGTTTCATGTGGGG